GTTAATTAAATGGAAGTGATTGTGATTATTATGGAATTTGACATTTAACTGCAACTTTAAGTTTGATTTTCCCCAAGTCAAGTTGTTCTCTCTGTGAAACATTAATTAGTACCATCTCTGCCGGCACAAATCTCTTTCCGAAAGACGACACGTGCAGCTAAGACTTAAACTGAGAAAATGGGATTCAACCTACCTTCTCATGGAAGACCTGTGAATCCACTTCCCCCTGGTTGAGTTCACTGTGTTTTCGTTTCCTTTTCTGAAAGTCAAATTGATATTGAATGAGACACAACAAACATGCAATAAAAGTGCAACCAAATTAATTATTGGACCGGCTTAATAGCTTTATATTAGTCTATTATACCTGTTTATAAATGAAAATAAAACAATACTGCAATATGGAAATCAGCTGAATGCTACTGCACTGTTTTATAGAGCCTGACCGACCTATCACAGACATACTGGTTTCATTTTAGTGTATCTGTTATAAAATATGCAGTATATAATGCTGAAAAAGAAGCTTGTGGTAACACATTAGTGTCACTGCACAGTTTCCTTAGCCTTAGTTATTATATTATATTATTTCTTGCTTAGAGAATAAAATAATAGTTTGTGTTGCATTAAATAGGTATAATATATATCATTACACTGCATTCTGTCTGAATACAGGCTCCAGGACCAGGGGTTGTCACAGGAGTGCCCAATTTTCTTTCTCTTGAAGGGAGAAAACTGAAACTTAATGGTTTTATTGTATCATTAAGATGCAAAATGTTACCTTAACTGACCCCCTGCACAATATATGCTAAGATAATTAAAAAAATAAGGGATCCTACATTTTTAACTCACAATATAAAACAGCATTTTCACTGCAATTTCTATTATATATGTTTTTTTTTAAATCCAGAGATTCCCTGGCCTACAAATCTGGAAGAACACATGTTTGTATTGTTTGTTACAAACCCAATAAAATACCACATCAACAGATTTTTGTTTGTTTTTTGGGTGAAACTTAAAATTGTGATGCAATAATGACCATTCCCACTACTCTTCTTATCACTAATCGTATTGCAATTGTAGTATTTGTCAAAATAATTGATATATTCTTAAGAATTACTTCATGATTGAACTTTACGGGGTGCCAGCTTTGGCCCGCGGCCCCACTGTGGTCCGCACTAACTTTTGTGAGCCCCTGGAGCAGCTTTTGGAGGATTTACCTTCCCCGGTTTGTCTTTTTTCTGCAACACATCGGTGTTCCCTCCATCCGCAGCAGCACCGGCACTCACATTATAATGGCTCTGTAAAATCTGAAAGCACTGCTTTTTAAAACGACACTTAACAAATGACTTGTGCGCGTCCTTAAATCGGACGCAACGCGAATAAAACTCATCGATGAGTGAGCGCGAATCCAAAACCCAGCCCTGGTTGTCCTGAACCACCACCGACATTGTGAAACTAATCCGGGATCATTCAGGATAAGTCCCCGCCCAACAGCAGCATCGAGTCCGGGTCCATGCAGTCGGGTTTCCCTGAAAACGATACCGAAAGTAGGGAGCGTGTGAAAAGCCTTCTTGTTATGATTTCCAGGAAGTAGAAGTACGAACATAGAAGCCGCATTGGCTGCCGGGTTGTACGTGAACGTCGCCGCCATATTAGGACGGGCAAGACTCTGCATGTAAACATAATATCTCAACAGATTTCATCAAATCCTTTTTTTATTGACACCAAAACGAGATATTGTGATTATTATAAACACTATGACAACAAATTATTTTCCCAACACATTTAAAAGTGTACTTAAATTAATGTAAGGCGTATAAATGATTAATTATTGAGATTATAAGTAACTGGAGATACAATAAATCTACTACTCATCATAAACCTTTGCATTTAATAAAAAAGACT